ATAGTTAACACGTGAATGATCAAATATCAATTGTCAAACATGTTTGCTTATAATCAATGCATCGATTAATATCGCCTTGCATTGTGAAGCTTGTGTAGCCCATTGGTCAGCAAATTGCACGGATATACAGGGATGTGTCCATGACGCAACCTATAGAAGATCTCAGATTTTCGAAATGAATTGATTGCTTTCTTCGTATGCTTGGTTGAATTTAGAACCTGATCTCTTAAAGTAGAGTATATTCATGATATTTCATAATCTCGTTTTTTTAACTCCAACGCCCTTAGAAACTAAGTAGCTCGGTACATAATAAAACGGCCCAAAGGGTCACCCTCTGAACTCGTTCCGTAGTTAGAAATGTTATCATCTAATTCTAATAACCTTACCATGTTATCCTGTTCAACTGGGTGTTCCTGTCTATACTTCTAGTTATAATTTGGGGAAAAAATGTGTGTGCTCAGTTGGTAGATAACACTGGTAAACAAAATTTTAACTTTGTCGTGGCACACGGACTTTTTTGATATTTCTTACTTTAATTGGTGGTTATAAGGAAAAATAAACAGTCAAAAAAAATTTGCTAGACAAGGATTTTATTCTATTGAGTAATTTAAAATATTAAGAAAAAACACAGATCTTGTAAGTCAAAAGTTTTTTTTTATAAATGACTTAATAATCTAAGATCTTCTTGAATATTTAGCTTCTGGTTGGTCCCTTGTAATTGTCCAGCAGTAATCTGCTAACATATTTGGGCTCCATTTGCCCTGGTACCGCTTTTCCATATTAGAAATGTCCTGATGGAACCTCTCACCGTGCTCGTCGCTGACAGCCCCTAAATTGTCAGGAAAAAAATCCAGGTGCGAGTCTAAAAAATGGATCTTAAGTGACATGTTGCAACCCAATGCTTGATATGAGAATAATAGCTCGCTAACCAACTCTCTGTAGCTGTCACTCTTGTGGTTACCCAAAAAATTTGAAGCAACATTTTTAAAAGCCTTCCATGCAGATATTTCTAAATCGCTTAATTTTTCTTCAAATCTTGAATCTTTTATTAACTCCCTAATTTGAGGGCCAACAGAAATACCCTTTTTTATCTTTGCATCACTTATTTTAGGGAATTTTTCTTTTAGATAGAAAAATCCACTCCCATTGCGATCCATTGCCTTCACAAAATTTTTTATTCATCCTAATTTGATATGCAATGGTGGTAGAAGCACATTATTTGGCTGTACAAGGGGTAAATACCTTACGTTTTTTTGCCCAGGAACTAACGATGCACGCGTAGGCCATGTTTTTTTTATATAGTGATTAGTTCTGTCTCGGCTATCCCATTCACATAAAAAGCAGCAAAGCTTTGTATAACCCAGCTGAAGTCCAAGTAATAGTGCAACAACTTTAAGATCACCGCAGATTTTGAAGAAATATGTACTGTAATTTATTTTTTCAAGTAAAAGTTTCATATTTTCATAGGTTTCTTTCATATTTGCAGCATGGGCCAGAGGTACAGACGGAAGCTTATTTCCGTTATGCAATAACACTGCTTTTAGACTTGTTTTCGAAGAATCAATGAATAAACGCCACTGAGAGAGATCAAAATCTATGTCCAACATTTTCATAATCTCATTTATGTTATTGCAATACACCAAATCTCCATCCTGAGAAAAATAGGTTCTGAAGTGTCATCGTCCTTGTCAACACATTCACCTGAAGTGGACGGTTGTGAATTGTTTTCAACAGACGTACGTAGTTGCAACTGGTATTAGTTCTGGCAATTTTTTGCAATGAGAGACTGGTCTTATAGCCGAAGATAAGTTAGGGTAAATAACTGTGGTTTTTTTCTTGTAATTTATACCTTTTATGTCTGTGAGACAAAAATAGCGATCTGAAACGTGATCTCGCTGTTCAGTCTCTATCATGGGTACAGCAAACGGCATAGGTCGTGCACCTTTCTTCCAGTCAGTTAAATTTTTCACACACGTTATGCAACAGACATGAGGGGCCCAGGATTTGTCTTGATGGGCGACAGAAAAACCAAAACATTGGTGATAACACTCCAACACACGATTCGTAAAATTTCGTCGTTGTTTTTTGAATGTTAGTTCTCCGCAGACATAACAAAAAGAGTTAGGATCATTATTACACTTCCTCGACATATTCACAGGGTTAATAAATCACAAAAATGTGTTCAAATTCAACAACAAATATTTTTATAAGGATTTACTTGTAAGCGTGTCTGTTAATTTACTGCCGTAGTACTAGTTATGAGTATTACCGTATCACAACAAATATGAGGCTAATAGACATATGACAGCTGTCATGTAATAATGAGGGTAGACTGATAAAACAAAATTAGTTGTCAAAGGTGGCAAAACCAGTGTTGACCAGTGTAATGTGACCTCAAAGTGTGGTTCTTTGATACAAATTGGCTTGGGCGCCACCTAGTACCAAAAACTAGCAAAAAGAAATAACAAGTAGTGCGTTTCAGTCTGCCAAAACTTAAAGTGGAGAGTTCTGGAGCTAGAGGAAACACAAATTCACAAGGCACACAAACATCTATTGAACAAAAAAAAGCAATGTAAAATAAGTCCTGGGAGACAGGAAAAAGGAAATTAGTTGGGACTACCTCCCAGCTAAATAGTTTCCAGCAAAAACTAGAATTAAATAAAAGTCACCTAGGTGCTTGGCTATTACAGAATGTTGGGATTCATTCTTTGACAGGAGAAGGGATAGCTGCTATGGAGCCCTCTTGAAGGAAAGGCTGCCCAAGTGGAAGCTCCAAAACAAAAGTGACCAAGGGTAAGAAGTTCCAGATGTAAATCAGAACCCGAACGTAGATCCCTCGAACAATTAGGGTTCACGGACCGCTCGTCGAGAGTCCTACTTATAGATCGTTTTCGGAGGGTTAATACAGACAGTGCCCATCAGCTCGATGGCTTGGTGTAGCTGTGACAACGGATAAATACCCAGGAGGGTGAAAAAACAAAATTCCCCAATGGAGGCCGATTTCTATCAAAGTCTCCACAACCCGACAAATCTCCAGCACTGGGTGTGAAATTGCTTCACTACGCAGGATGTGTCGCTGTACTGCCACACGAGCACCGGAAATAGTTCCAAGTTACCTTCAGCTTTCGTCTTTACGGTCGACAGAAGTTATAAAGGCATGAACTTTAACGAGATGGAGTGTAGATTACGATTTCCTACCACATAATCATTAGACCAAGAGAAGTGTTTTGGTATAAAAATAAAATGCGATATTTTTGAGAACTGCTATAAAATTATTATTCTAAGTACGAAAAACGTTATAATAATTTACCTTATTAATATATAGCTATACAGGGTGGCGCAACTAAAACGAAAGAGACGCATTTACTGGTAGCTCAGTTTTGTTTTTGAAAAACCCGTCGATTTTGTTCTCGAAGGGGACACAAGTTTGGCAAAAAATCACGTTAGCACGTGCAGCCCCCTAACCGGGGGTGACACCACCCCCAAAATCTTAAATGGAGAGGGTATCAAGTGATACCTTATTGTAAAGGTCTTTCAATTCCCTTTATAATGATATAAAATTAATGTACTTCAGTTCAGTAGTTTTGAAGATTCACTGATTTAAAGCTTAAATAAAACTAATACACCATCATTAGTGGAGATCAATATATTTATTATTATTATTATTATGATAATTGAGATGAGTAGAGTACACAGTACTATAAGCTCATGCAGTAAATATAGTGTACGGGCACGTAACACAAATACATCAAATAGAAAAAAATAAAAAAAAAGACAGTTCATAGCTATAAAGTCTGTACACTCCTCCAGCTATCATACTGCACTTTGAAGCTATTAACTAAAGTAGCACCAACCACACTTTCAGGTAAACTATTCCAGGTGTTGAATATGCGGTTGGGAAGAAACCACTGTCGGACTGTTGTTTTAAATGGCTCCTTATGCAGTTTGAAGCTGTGTCCGCGTAGATTGCTGCGCGACAGACGGTATAGAACCATGAAGTATCCTGAACGTAACTATAAGATCGCCACGAAGTCTTCGCTCAGAGAATGAGGTCATGTTGAATAATTCAAGACGATCTTCATAGCTTGGTCTTCGTGCTCCAAAAGGGATACGAGTAGCCCGACGCTGTACTGATTCGACGAGATTTCTATCGCGCAGAAGCACAGTGTCCCATACCGGGCCAGCGAATTCAAGAATTGGCCTCACGAATGCCTTGTAAATGTTGGCGCAAGTGTTGACATCGGATCCTTTGAAAGACCTCTCCAGCATGTATAGAAGTTTCTTGGCTTTTGATGTAACATGGTGAATATGCTCTGACCAGGAAAGACGATCGTTGACTACAACGCCCAGATCAGTTTGGCTGGAAACTGCTTCGATGTTGTGGTCAGAGATCTTGTATGTAAATCGCGGATTTGTCTTCCCGAGGTGAAGGACACAACACTTAGTTAGATTTAAGGGTAGAAGCCAACTGACTGACCATTGACAAACAATATCAAGATCTCGTTGAAGCATAGCAGAATTTACGACAGTATTGTAAATCTTGGTGTCGTCGGCATAAGCTGAACATGTGGAGGAAATCAATGCGGGCAGGTCACTTGTATACAGAAGGAACAGCACTGGCCCCAAGACAGAGCCTTGAAGAACTCCACTTGCTACATGATGAAGGTGAGACTGGCTATCACTGACGCGCACAGAGAAAGTCCTCCCGGTGAGAAAAGCCTTAATCCACAGTAACAACTCGCCTCTTATTCCCATACATTCCAACTTAACCCTTAACTACGGACATGGAGTCTCGTAGACTCCGCCGCGCAAATATCGTACCGTACTCACAACAAAAAACACCCAAGGTCAACGCCGCTTCGAGTAGCTTCCGCTTTTTCACTTTGCTACAGCGTGTTGAGGTGATTACTTAGCATTTATTTTTGATTTTGGAGTTACGTACATTTCAGAGTCTGACAGACTCCTTGTCCGTGTTAACGTCAGTATAGTGATATTTTATTATGGCGACTTCTAGGCCAAGTTCTTCCAAACGAATTAATGTTTTGGATCCTAACTTTGAGGAAATTGCCATGAGATGGTTCAATGAGGTAGACAATGAAAACAGTGATATTGAACCTGATGAAAATGTGTTCATTGAGAGTGAACATGAGTCAACAAGCGAGCAAGAGGCGTCTGACGATGATCCTGATTACGAGATTGAACATGACGAAGACATGGATATTTCCAGTGGCGAAGATGATGCTACTATCGGAAGTGAACAGGTGTTAGAACCTAACAGATCAGGAAATGAACGTAAACGAGAAAATAAATACCTGTATGGAAAAAATAGATTCAAATGGAGCCGACGCGAGCCAGAACGAAGAGTACGAACACCAGCACATAACATTTTGCGACTTCCAGCAGTTCGACTAACTGGAAATTATGAAAAGAGCCCTATTAAATTGTTCAAAAAATTATTTTCTCCTGAAATGTATGACTTGGTTATAGTTTGGACAAATGCAAAATTAGCTTCTATGAGAAGAAAATACAAAAGAGAAAATAAACCGGAGCTAGCAGATATTGACAATGACGAATTAGATGCCTTTTTAGGATTGTTATTGTACACCGAAATTTTCAAAAGTAACGATGAAGATGTAAGAAGTATTTTTGCAACAGACGGTAGAGGCAGGGACGTATTCCGAGCTGTTATGTCTCAAGAGCGTTTCTCCATTTTGTTAGTGGCTTTGCGATTTGATAATCCAGAGGACAGAGAAGAAAGAAAGAAGGTAAATCCAGTAGCAGCTATTAGTGAGCTGTTTGATATGTTTTGCGAGAATGCTAGATGTTCATATACAATTGGCGCAACAGCTTGCATAGATGAAATGTTGGTGGGATTCAGGGGAAGGTGTAAATTTAAAATGTATATCCCATCCAAACCAGAGAAGTATGGGATAAAAATAATAGCAATGACTGATGCAAGAACACAGTATTTATATAATGCATACATTTATGGTGGTAAAGACAGCGATGGTCGTGGTCTAACAGAAGAAGAGAAAAAGCTCAGTAAACCATCTCAGGCAGTTATCCGGCTCGCTAAGACTATTTTTCACTCAAACAGGAACATAACGGCCGACAATTGGTTTGGATCTATGGAGCTTGCCCAATACCTATTAAAAAATGGCCTTACATTTGTGGGAACACTAAAAAAGAATAAAAGGGAGATTCCCACTGAGTTTTTACCTGCAAGAAAACGCAAATTGGGTGAAACACTTTATGGGTTTACGAAAGATGTTACAATAATCTCACATGTTCCCAAGAAAAATAGAGCAGTAGTTCTTTTATCTACCATGCATCACAGCGAAACAATCGATGAGACATCCAATAAACCTGAAATGATCGCCTTTTATAATTCCACTAAAGGAGGTGTGGATGGAATGGATGAAAAAACTGCAAAATATACATGTAGTCGCCGTACTAGAAGGTGGCCAATGGCTATCTTTTATAAACTGATAGATATTTGTAGCGCAAATTCTTTCATTATGTATTCCTCTTTCCCGGGAAATGATATAACACGTTTCAATTTTGTGAAAATATTGGCGGATCAGTTAATTGAAAAACATGTGCGTAACAGATTGGAGATGCCAATGTTACACAGAGAATTGAAACATTTAATCTGTCGCGTTTTACATCAAGAAGAGCCAACACCTGTGACTGAGGAACGCCTACATACACGTAAATATTGTTATATATGCCCCTCGAAGCTAAAAAGAAAGACTGCCTATACATGTGCGAACTGCAAAAAGCCAATATGTCTGCAGTGTTCGCGAAAATCTTGTATAAACTGTTGTCAAACTCTAGAAAATATATGAAACATTCACCTCGTGCAGGTTTTTTTATATTAAAGTTTACAGCCCTATTCTTACTATTTTACCGTTTGTGGGATCTTATAGTATAAGGTTTAAATTCAAATAACTGTTGATTTATATGTTTTGTTAATATTAGCGTTGCTTTTTATTTGTATGTTTAGCATTTGTAACAAAATGGAATGCGCCAATTATTTCGTGGTTTTTTTGCATAATTTTATAGTATTTTCAAAATATTGATAATAAACATGATGTATGAGATGTATTTTGTTTTACTTATGAAGAAAAAATCAGCATACTTTTTGTAAAAAGAAAAATGTATTGCATACATTAATAGGAGTCTGTCAGACTCCTTGTCCGTGTTAGAGGATAAAAAATGTATGTCCGTAGTTAAGGGTTAAACAGAAGCCTTCTATGTGGTACGCGATCGAAAGCCCTAGAAAAATCTAAGTAGATTATATCAACAGGAGTCTTTGTGTCCAGATACTGAGTCCAATCGTTGAGAGAGTGGAGAAGGTTGATCATTATTGATCGACCAGGGAGAAATCCATGCTGATTCTTAGGGATAAGGTCATTTTCGAAAGCAAATGACAGGAGCTTATCTAATATGATTCTTTCAGCTATTTTGGCGGCGATAGGAACGAGACTTATTGGTCGATAATTTTTGAGGACGACGAACGGGACGCACAGCGTGTAGCAGAATAATATGTTTGTGATAGCCAGGTGAGAAGAAAAAAAGAAAAAAGTGAAGGTCAGCACAGGTCTGGTGTTGATTACGCTCTGGTGTATGGCTGACCACAATAGAAATACATAAATAGACTGATATCGCCTAGAATATACTGATTAAATCTCAAATAGCGTACTCACAAAGGATTCCTGGTACTTAGGTATATATAGGATGTATATAGCGTGACATCAAATTACACAGAGATAAAAATAATACACGTCCGTACACTGAGATGGATGGTTGGGTTTTTTTAGCAAATTATTTTAAAAATGAAGTATTAACTGACCCTGTAGGCAAGTAAATGTTGAAAATGGCCACCATGACTCTCCATGCAATAATAAAGATTTGGCTCAAAACGTTGCCGCACATTTTGCAATATTTGAGGAGTAATTTTAAGGCACTCTTTCACGATTCTTTGGTCTTCTTATGATGTTGACTGAGTAGCATAGATTTTGCTTTTTAAATGACCCCACATAAAGACATCCAAAGGCGATAAATCTGGCGATCTGTGGGCCATTCAATGGCATCTCTTCTACCAATCCATCGATCTGGAAATGTCTGATCTAAATATTGTCGAATACGTAATGCGTAATGTGGTGGGGCACCATCCTCTTGGAACATCAACCTATCCTCAATATACCGCCGATCCTTCTGATTTTCAATTATGGCTGTTAATGCAGGCGTCTTCCAGTAATTCCAAATACATTTCACCGGTCAAATTTACAGGTGAGAAAAAAGGACCAACTAAATGATCGCCAAAAATACCAGCCCAAACATTTAATTGTTGTGGCTGCTGTGTATGAACCTCATGATAAATTCTGGGAATAGAATCGGACCAATATCGGCAGTTATGACGATTTACTACGCCATTTAAGAAAAAGGAAAAGCAGGTGTTGAATAATAATGTGTTTATAATTCGTTCACTGATATCTTCACAAAATTGTAATCGCCGATCAAAACCGTCTTCATTAAGTTCTTGTACCAGGTGAATTTTATACGGATGAAAACTATGGGCCTTTAGAATCCGTTGGACAGTACGTCTATTATCACCACACAGTGTCCAATTTGCGGGTGCTTAACGTAGGATCTTCATAAACTTGCCCTAAAACCCCAAATGCTATTGCTTCGTTCCTTATGGGATTTTCATTGTTTCGTTTCTTATTGGCGACTGACCCAGTTTCCCGAAATTTAGAACATTTTTTCGATGCTCGTCACTGTTCTCATGTCGCTCATTAAATATCTCTGCCGTCCTATTAGCGCACTGATTATTTCCGAAAAATATTTCGATAATTTCAACTCTTTTTGCTGTGGAATATACCATGGTTAATTTATGGAATAAAGCGTTACTAGTTATTTTAGCAACAAAGTTTGGTCAAATCAATCGCAAACTATGTACTAAATTCTTATTTTTTTAGTCAAATTTCTTCTGAAAGTAGTACAAACTGATCTGATGTACCTATTAAAGTCAACTTTAATCTTTAAATAAATAAATCTTCAAAGCTACTGAACTGAAGTACATTAATTTTATATTATTATAAAGGGAATTGAAAGACCTTTAAAATAAGGTATCACTCGACCTACCTTTCTATTTAAGATTTTAGGGTTGGTGTCACCCCCGCCCAGGGGCTGCACGTGTTAACGTGATTTTTGCGAAACTTGTGTCACCTCGAAGACAAAAACGATGGGTCTGAGCGTTTGTCAAAAAAAACTGAGCTGCCAGTAAATGCGTCTGTTTCGTTTTCGATGCGCCACCCTGTATATCAGTCAACCATAGAATATAAAATTCTGGAACATACGCTGGGTACATCTTTACACGTGTCCATCGTCTATCAACATTTATTCAGACCGCAGTTAATTTACCCCTGTAACTGGATGTGAGAAAAATAAAGAAAAATCGTTCACACCCTAATAAGCATTCGTTTTCATTATCTTCGGGCAAAACATCCTAAAAAAGCGAATAAGCAGAACGCGAGGAGAAAAACGTTAACTGCGGATGAGTAACGATATTTTTTAAATTTTTTGCTGCAAAACAGGGTCCATATCTCGTTTATTCTGCCAGGGAGTTCATCCGAGATAAATGTTCTTTTTAATGAAGTTGTTCACGTAAATTGCTTTGTTTGTTGTGATAATAGTCGGTGAAATTCGTGAAAGTTGCTAGCCTTCAGTTAATGTACAGGAAAGTGGACATTTGTGTTGATTATGCCCCACAATAGCTAACTTGTTAACTGGTAGATACAGCATTGTATCTCATACTAGAGCCTGATTATTCCAAGCATTTTCATTTATAGCTAAACGGTTTCGGAGGAAATTGGTTGTTTTTACTTGTAATCGCGAACATTTTTAAGAATATCGGTTTGTCCGCTAATCTTGTAATCGCTTGACAACGTTACTACAAATGCTTTGAGGTTTTTGAAAATTGGTTCAGTGGCAACAGAGGAGAAAGCCAAAAACGGAAAAAAATGTAAGTCGCAATCATTTTTTAAAGAAGAGGTAAAAAATCTGAGGGTGGGGGTGGAGAGCGCTCAATAATGATAATAATCATCTTTATTCATTAATGACAAGGTACAAATTTATGAATTGCTACCCAGAAATGTCAAAGTCGAGCTTTCATTCCTAGAAGAATAGCTGGTCTTCCACTTACCCTGACATAACGCACTTAGCTATCTTATATAAATTCAAGCTTAAAATATAAGATATGAGAATAATGTTCTTTCATGATCAGCAATTTCAAAACTATGATGTAAC